AAAATCGGGTACCAATCTCTGCGTCTCGTAACGGCGCACACGCTCGTTTTTTCCGCGACGCGCTAGCTCCACCAGGGGCGAAACGGCGAGGGGGGGTCGTCCCCGCCCCCCCCCCCCTCGGCCGGCGCGTATGTAGAAAACCAATAGGTCCGGCGAGGGTTAGGCTCTGGTGCTTGAGTGCATCCGTCGTCGAGGTGATCATTTTGAGTATCTTGTCTAAAAGAAGTGTGAGAGTCAAACACAAAGATGTTTCTGCACGTCTGAGGGCTTTCACCCAAGGGAAACTCCAAAGAATAGCCACCTGGACTATTTGCTTATTTCCATTTTATGTCTAATAAATGTGTTTTGTTGTTGTTTGTTGTAAGAAGATAACAATTCATATAATCGTTAATCAATTCAAAGCAGAGGGCACGGTTCAATGATAAACACGGCACAAAAAATGGTAAGCAAACCCTGGAAAGTTGATTTCAAAGAGCGCTGAGGTCAGGTGGGCGCCACACTCGCCGGAGCTCAACGTCGTGGAATTTTTCCTCTGGGGCTATGCAAAGTCCGAGGTCTATGTATGAGGAGAGTCCCCAGGATATTCTGGGGCTGAAGGATGACATTGGCAGCTGCTTTGGTTCCATTTCCTTAGGAATGTGGTGCGTCCGCGCCATCGCCAACTTTAGGCTCTGGTGCTGGAGTGCATCCGTCGTCGAGGTGGTCAGTCTAAAAGAAGTGTGAGAGTCAAAGGAAAAGTGTATGTGACTGATGCTATACATGGATCAAAACTTCAGATTTGGCTGTTTAATATGGTACTTGGCAATGGCATGTAACACGAATGCATGTCCTGTAGTTTTCATTTATTTTCGGTCACACGGCTATGGATCACCCTACATTATAGAACTATCTGCTCTAGATATGCCAAACTTAAACTCGATAGCTCCATTTTTAGCAAAGTTATGGCAAAAAAAAAACACTTCTCAAAATGTATTACGTAAAATTTTCAACCTCAATTTTTAGCCGTCACAGAACACACAGAGCAAGCCAAAGACCACCATTGGATTTCCCGTGATGAGCTGCATCGAATAGATACCCCTTTTATGCAAAATATGAACTCTGAAATTTAACCTTTTTTGACCTAACCTTGACCTGACCTCCACCAGAACGCAATCTTAACCGGCCCCAATGGCCGTCTAGCCCACACCATTGAATTTTAAATGTAAAATTGACCATAAAACATGTATCACGTGACCCTAGCAATTAGCATAGTTGGGTTCATATTGTGACCCTTAGTGACCTGACCTCTGTGACCTGACCTGGCATCAGTGACCTCTTTAGGCAACATATGTATTGGGCAACCACGCTCCATCGATTTTTTCGATAACATGCCTTTTATTTGATGTGTTAACTGACTGTAACGCATTCCTTAGACTAAATGGGTGAAAAATGCAACATTTGACCTGACCTGTGACATCATGGGTTGCACCTAGGTCAACGAAACCTGGTAACAAGGTAGTTCCCTGGTGGGGCTATCGAACGTTCTTCGAATTTTCAAAATCGGTCGGTAACTTTCCGAGATCTCAGGTGGAGGACGAAACGGCTGCACCACCCCATCAGGTGGTAGGGTCCGCCAATAACACAACGGGGCGCGAATTATTTACTCATTCATACAGTGTCATCTATTTTGAGAACACCTTTCTCACGCCCTGACATGGTCCTCTCGTAATAGATCGAGATGAGGAGAGTGTTTTCACGCCTCCTTATGCACGGCTCTAGTGTCATTGAGCTATCAACTGTCAGCGGTTTTCGGACAATGAAGGAAGGCTTTTGGTCGTTTTTAGGTAAGGTCTTGGGTCAGATCATTTCAGTGGCGGATCCAGAGGGGGGGGGGCATGGGGGCCATTCTCCCCCCCCTTGGGTCTCCCGGGGCCCATCACGGAGTTTTTTTTTTTAATTCATCACGGAGGCCACCGACGGGAGCTTTAACCCAGAGGTCTCCTAAGGGGGCACCATCCAGGTCTATCGGAATAGGGTACCGTTTTCGGGGTCTCCCGGAGGCCCATTTCTGTCCCTCGCCTCGTTTTTTTTAGCTAAGTTTAGTCTTTTAGTTTTTAGTTTAATATTGTCCATTTATTTCCATCCCGAGGTCCGCGGGGCACCATCTCGAGTTCTCAGCTGGCACTATCCCGAGTTCTCCGCGAGCACCATCCCAAGGTCGGTGAGGGCACCATCTTGAGGGTCCGGGGCACCATCCCAAGGTCTCCGGCGGCACCATCGCGAGGTCTGGGGGCACCATCTCGAAGTCTCCGAGGGCACCATTCCAAGTTTCCAGCGGCACTTTTCCGAAATCCGAGGTCTGAAGGAGCACTCTCCCCGGGTCTGAGAGGGCACCATCTCGAAGTCTCAGGGGCACCATCCCAAGGTCTCAGGGGCACCATTCCGAGGTCTCAGGGGCACCATCCCGAGGTCTCAGGGGCCGTTTGATCCGCGCCGTCCTGGGGGGAGTTTTTACGCCCCCCCCCCCTAGGTTTTTCGCGAATATCTAAAAAACGGCGACGCGTAGCGCCGCTGTTTTAGATACACCCGCTCCGACATCTTCTTCGCACATGCTATGAAAATTTCAGATCCCGGTCATTCAAGGTCAGGTCACCAGGTAACGTTAAGTGACCTTACCTCAGAAAAAGTTAGAAAGCTCGCTGTGGCTACACCGACTGAGCGATCACTTTTAAACTTTCAGTACTTGCTTAGAGTAACAGTATGTATAAAATGGACATCTCGGATTTTTTTCTATATCTGTGAGTTGTGACCTAAGGTCAGTTCAATTTTACGACTGCTCCATATAAATCAATGGGAGAAAATTGAAATGAGCCTCTTTTGGCCGAATGTCGTTCTACACCCTCTCAAACATCGGTTCATATGTAAACATGACACTCTGAATCGGGAAATTGCACCTGTGCCCCCTTTGTGTGCCCCTGAGGTCATCTCAGGTCATGAAAGGTCTTCAGCAGTTTTTTTTACTATAACTTTTGATTTGACAGAGATGTGCTAGAGCGGTGAAAGCACGGGGGCTAAACCGTTGATCTGAGGTCAAATTTGAAGTCAATCAGAGCGGTGCCCTCTGGGGGCTAAACCGTTTATCTGAGGTCAAATTTGATGATATGTTGGCGAAAGAGCGTTAAAAGAGCTATCGAATGCGCTTTTCCACGGCGCTGTAGCTCTATTGGTTCCAGAGTTAGTCGTCGGGTGTTTAAAATCGTTGAAATCGACAAAATTTGACCTTTGATGAACTCTGGTGACCTGACCTTTGCCCTGAACTTAAAATGACAGAGTGTTTTCCTTCTTATTTTTGACGCTCTTTCGATTGCCGCTTACCGCGTGTCGCAACGTGGCCCAGGAGCTGAGTTAGACGGAGGGGCGTGAAACACCCCCCCCCCCTCAGCACTCGACGGAAAGTTCATGCCATCAACACGGCTCGGGTGAATTGTTATGTTAGCTAGCTCCTGTTGTAAGCTGTGGAGTCGTGGAGCTGATCTTGAAGGAACTGGGCCTAACATTTTCATAGCAAACGTAAAAAGAATGTTTAATAGGTGATGCAAAAAATAGCATCTCTTTTATGAAATATTTGCGAAACCCTCAACATCATCCCCATTAGTGCCGAGCTGCCAACGACGACCATAAAAAGTCACCATCCCGTCAGCGTTTGTTTATCATAAGGATGCTAAGATTTAATTTTCAATCCGAAGCTGAAATGATGGAAAGCAAATTTACATTTTACATACGAAACAAGCTGACACATTTAAATATTTTCTCTCTCGCTCCCCCTCACTGATTTACCAATTACCCTCTCTCTCATTTTACCCTCCCTGGTTTTCCTTTTCTGTCTCTGTTTTCTCTCCTCCCGTCCTTATCCCTTCCCTCCAGTCTTTCTTCTCTCTCTCTCTCTCTCTCTCTCTCTCTCTCTCTCTCTCTCTCTCTCTCTCTCTCTCTCTCTCTCTCTCTCTCTCTCTCTCTCTCTCTCTCTCTCTCTCTCTCTCTCTCTCTCTCTCTCTCTCTCTCTCTCTCTCCTCTCTCTCTCTTCTCTCTCTCTCTCTCAACTCTCTCTCTCTCTCCCCTCTATCTCTCTTCCCTCTATCTCTCTCCCTTTCTCCTTCTCTCTCCCTCTCTCTCCCTCTCTCCCTCCCTCTCTCGCTCTCCCTCCCTCTCTCGCTCTCCCTCTCTCCCTCTCCCTCTCCCTCTCTCCCTCTCTCTCCCTCTCCCTCTCTTTCTCTCTCTCTCTCTCTTTTCTCACAATATTCTCGACTGCCACAGCGCTGTAGAACTTGTTTCCAGACAGGTCCAGGCGCTCCCCACTCCGCAGGCCCCAGCCCACACGGCCCAACCGCCCAAACACCCTCCGGCGGATGACCTCTGACCTCGGCGACCTGACCCCAGCCGACCGATCGCGTCCCTCTCCACGCCTCCGCCCCGCTTCCCCCACTACAACTGCGTAGTAATTGTAGCGTGTGCAAAGGTCACGTGACATTATTTACTTCTGCGGTTTGTTCGGCTGACAAGAGATGGCACTAGTGGTCTGTGGATCAGAGGCGGGGCTAGGTTCTACGACTTCTTGGGGCAACTTTAGGGCAGAAAAGACGTTTTTTGGCTCCTCATCCCAAAATGCTTCGAACATACAAAAACAAGTTAGATATTCGAAAATCGGAGGACCAAACCGATCGTTTGACGTATCTTGCTCGACTGAGAATTGATTGGTCTTCAAACTACTGAGCAAAAACGAGGTGATTAGTAGCAAGTGCTGGTGACTGTACTTAGCGGTGCACCCTTGTCTGCAGCCACCACCTCATTCATTTGGACTATTTTTTTTTAAAAAATATATATATATATTTAAAAGAATAAGAAAGTTGCTTTCTTTATGGACTTAACCATCATTTCATCACATCCACCTCTTGCTTTTTATTCAATGTCCAATCAATCACGACAAAGTCAGACCGCTTGACCCCCGGCTCCCTTCAAAAACTCACTGGACTCCTGCACGAAAGCGACGCCCCACTTGATGCTCCAGATCCAGCCGACCACGATAGGCAGCGTGATGAGCTGCAGCAGGCCGGTGAGCAGGGACCAGCAGAGCGTCTCACGGCGCGTGGGGTACTCGCTGGGACCCCAGCAGAACACCATCAGACCCGAGAGGAACGTCCCTGGAGGCACAGTGAGGTCAGAGGGTGGTTAGATGAGGGATGTCATGCATTCTATAGTAAAATTATCAACATTTACTTTTCGACCTGCTCAGTTAGCCACTTTCGTAAATGCGACTCGACGTTAATTGGCGTTCATTTCAAAATTTAGGGCCGTCCAACTTATTAATTAAAATGTTCACTGGCTTACATTTAACTGTTGCTAAGTTCTGCTGCCGTCACATTTATTGAATTTATGTGTGTATGGTGGAATAATATGGGTGTGGAATAATAAGGAATAATGGAATAATATATGGAATATATGGAATATATGTGGAATAATTTGGGAATAACATGGGGTAGAGACTTCCACTGGCGTCCAATTGGCGTCTAACTGAGCAGACGTCCAAGTTGGCGTCTAACTTGGCGTCTAACTGTTGGACGGAGACTTCCAAGCTAGACGAGTCTAAAGTTAGCTGTAGCCAGATAGACGCAGCCCCCGTCCAGCTAGACGCGTTTAAGACTTAAACGCGTCTAGCTAGACGCGAAATAGAAGCCTCCACCTATAGCGACTTATCGTTTTGTGAATAACCATTTCCTCTGGTTCTCATTCAGTGCAGCTTTTAGCCGCCTGTTTTACATCTGAGCGAAGTAATTAATTTGATGTCGGCAGGTCTGGCTGCCATTCAAATCACCTGTTGGCGTCTGACTGTCACGTCTGTCAGCGGATCGAACAATATGACACGACGCCCTCGTATACTTCCTAACGCCATAGAATCAATTAGGATGCAAATGGATCCAGCGTGCACGTAAAAGACTCGAAGGCACTCTGTCTATACAAGGCTCGGAAATTGCGAGGCCTTTGTAAAATCTTGCGATGCTCACTATGCTGAGCTAAGGCTCTTTTCAACAACATTTGTATAAGCTGTCGCCAGATAGCCGACTCGTCACAGTTTCATTCGGCGTTGAATAGCCGTCCAAGCCGGGCGTTTGCGCGTTTATTTGCAAGATAACTTTTTGCCCAGCTTGTCAATGAAATCTAGTCACACCGCTGTGTGCGCGCATCAGTGTCAATTTGAGCATCTTTGTGTATGTGCATTGTGCCGTGCTACAGCTGTTGCGTCGTTCTTCCAATGTGTTTACGAGCAGCAGCGAATGCCCCGGATGAGACACGTCCGGACTAATTCAAATGTGACGGTGACCTCTATCAGCACATCTGTTTACATGTAACCCGCCACAAAACAGCGTAACTAGCATGTTGCGCGACACGTGCAACCCAAAAGTAGAGGCTCATTATGTAGCCTGGTACCGGTGCCACTGAAAAGAAATATCACACGTGTGTGCGCGTCGGGGGCCAGTTGAGCCAGCAAAAAGGGGCGGCCAATCTGACCACTTGTGTTCGTTGTCAGTTGGCCCGGGCCGTGGCCTCGGTGCATGGCTGCGTGAGCCATCGAGTCCCTAGCCGGCCTGCTGGCAGGCGGCAACTACATACCGCACGGCTGCCTAACCCAATCGGCCGCTGTCTATTCAAATGACTGTCAAATGACGGACAAACGTCTGTCCGGTGGCTGTCTGATACACAAACGTCGTCTGGCGCGGACAAAAATGTCTGTCATAGCTCGCTTACAGACAAAAAGTTTGGATGGCTGAGAAAAAAAAAATAGTCGCTACCTGTGAACAAAGTAAACAAATATAATGCAAACCAATGAAGTACGCCAATGGAACAGCAAGTTGAACATTTTCCTCCCTCCCTTTTTTCATTATTGTATGTGTTTTACTCAGAAGTCATTTTAGTTAGTCCCATATTTGGAAAATACTTAAGCTAATTGAATATCTAAATCCAAGCCAATCAAAGGCTTCGTCAAATTATCTACTGCAACCAAATGACATTAATGTAATCTAGACGGCTCTAAAGGCTGGTGGTATATTGAAGACTCATTGTCTTAATCGTTTGGTGGTTCTGTCATCCTACTCATTTTCGAAGAGCTAAAAATCATATCGCGATTTAATCTAGGTTGATGAACCAACTAAATTTGGTCGACCGTTGCATTAGGGAGGTCCATTAGCGTTGAAGTGAATCCGAGGACCATTATTTGTCGAAATTCCCTACGACTCCGGTCACGTTGCCATGCTGATGCGGGCTTCATGTAGCGGCTATACAGGTAGTACTTAAAGATCATTTGTTTGATATTGGCTGTGCACTGTGCAGTGCCACTTGCTACCACGCAAAAGTGCGCCAAAGGTGCAGGTAATAGCACAAATACAAATATAAGGTTATTACACAATACACTATTTTACATACTACACTACTACTACTATATGCTTTTTTAATCAATATAGTGTGCAGCAGCGAAAGAAGCCAAAGAGAGGGCAATGACCTCCCTTTGGGTGGCAGGCGCCTCTGGGGGGGGGGGGGGGGGGTGCTGAACTGTCTGGGTTAAGGTCACAGAGGACACTTGCCAATCCTGTGGCGGCACAGGTCATTGATAGGCAGTGACCTCTTTCATAGTGGTTTTGATGTGCCTCAGGGACGAAGACTGAACTGTTCATAAAGATGACCTTTATCACTCCGAATCATTCTTAGTTCGACGGCCGACGCCATTGAACTCACCACAAGGGGAGCCTGGCCATGACCACCCATGGACCCATACCACCACCAGACCGTCACTGACCTATGCTCGGCGTGACGACGTTCAGCACACAGAGCAGCAGCGCCACCGGCATCGGCATGTAGGGGATCGACTTGCGGAAGCAGCCGTGCTTCTCGTGAATTTTGACGATCTCCATCCGTTCCGTCTGCCCGTCGTCATTTTCGTACAGCACCTGCGGTGAAAACGAGGCGTTAGACAGATGGGAGAACGGCTGAGTGTGATGCGTAACGGAGCGACTGCGATTTGATGATTTTGTGTGATATTTTTTTGTCATTTTTTTATAGCGTACTATAAGAAAAATATTGTTATCCTGTCGCAATCGCATTGTGGCCTTGAACAATATCTATTATGACTTATCTTATCAAAAAGCGTTGTTGTACTTGTATGTTCATACTTCATATCACTGATCAATAGTTGAGCCAATTTTATAAGGCTCCGAGCCTGAGGTCGTGTATGTACAGTATTACGCGCAGTGGCATTTTCTACCAAGATAGCATCACTGATCACGACACCATAAACCGTTACCAATAACTCATCAGAAGGGTTGAAAGGACCGCTGTGACCGACTCGTGACGGCCCACTGACCAGTGTTGGTCAGGGGAAGCCACATCACCAGCAATTGGATTATGCATAGGTCACTGACGGGCGCACGGGGACCCATGGCTTGGCCGGCGGAAGGCGTCTAGACATTGGGACTGTGTGGGCGTTCTGCATGGTATATTCATGTGCCGAGCTCACAACAAGGCGCCGTGGGTCGCTACATGGAATGCAAAAACTGTTGGCAATATTCAATGAAGAATAACGGTAATTGTATTTAGCTGCTGAAATAAGCGAGCACTCTTCAATCATTGATGCCATTGTAATTTTTTCCCAGTTGTAGCCACGCGTATGTAAGCACATCCACTTCCTGGCTACGCGTATATGGGTGCCTACTGCTGATGAATGCTCATCAATATCTTTAAGCGCGCCGATGACGGGTTATTTTCCCGACCAGTTAACTATCACTATTCACTACGCTGTCTGACAGGCCGGTTGGCAGGCCGCCGGGCTTGGTCTCGTCATGTGTTGCTGTTGTAACAGAATCGACATAGGCATAGGTACACGGGGCGACGAAATACACCAAAAGGTAAGTACTGTGACCGTAAGGCATCAGCGTTCTACTGCATTTTTCACGACTACCATGATGAGCAATAAGCGATACTCTGACTCTGTTCCTTTATTCTTCCAGCCCTTTGGTTTTATTCGTTTTTATCTCATGAGACCTTCTGGCCTACTCACTCATTCTCTATCTCTCCCTCTCTCTCTCTCTCTCTCTCTCTCTCTCTATCTCTCTCTCTCTCTCTCTCTCTCTCTCTCTCTCTCTCTCTCTCTCTCTCTCTCTCTCTCTCTCCCTCTCCCTCTCCCTCTCTCTCTCATCTCCCTCTCCCTTTCCCTCTCCCTCTCCCTCTCCCTCTCCATCTCCCTCTCCCTCCCTCCCTACCCCTTTCCCTCCATCCCTCTCTCTCTCTCTCTCTCGCTCTGCCTATAAGCAGCCACATATGACCATGACCGACGAGTGTGCCAGGTATGATCTCATTAGCAAAGGGCATGAGACACGGGGCAAGGGGCGGCCAACCCAACTTCCGTACCCCACACACGTGTTATCAGCTTAGTCATGGGTAGACAGCTGACCAGAAGTATCATGTCCACGTTGACGACACAGTGTGCATAGCATACTTTTTTTATTTGATTTTGACTTGATAACATATTTTTTAGCGGAACAGTCTGATTCAGTGAGAATGGGAGGAGAACGGTCAATAGATGTGAGTAGATTAGGGCCTGAATAGAGGTGTGCGTGTGTGTGCTGTAAGATCAAAGTCGTGGTGGATTGGAACCGCTTATTCTTCTCAGGAGTTCTCGTGATAAAACTGATTTGATATAAAATTGCCAACCAGCTTTTGTAGTGCAATATATTGCAAATCCAGACTCTTAACAACGGAGGAATGATGTGGGATAGATGAGAAATGATAGCTCAACTTCAAAATGGTGTGTGGGTCTGAATTCTGGACTGCTCCGGAGGCCTTCACTGTTTAACGGCACTTCTCGAACAAAAAAGCATCTAAAGCGCTTGGAGCCTTGGAGTTGATTACCTGTGTTTGTTCGGGCTTCACAAAAGCGTCCGTTTTGTAATGAGTTCTATATCGTGTGTGTCTTACACTTGGCAAGACAAAACCTTCTCTTGCTCACATAAAAAGGAATATGTTTTGCTGTGTATCTAACGCATTGTAAGAGTTCGATGTAATGAATGAAATTTGGCCATTGTTGAAAACATTGTAATGAAAGAACCAATAAGACGCACCGAATGCCTCTCAGCATGGCTGCCAAACAACAAAAAAGTAATTTCATCGAGCCGGCGGCAGCGAGCGCTGCGGGGCACGTCGCTGTTGCCGGGTCGCGCGCCTCCCCTCTCCGTCAGCGAAGCGTGTCAAGCCGCCACAAGATGGTCCGATAATTGGTCCTGGAACGAGCAGCGCGAGTGGCAAATGGACGGTCGGCTCCCACTTGACAGGGTAGAGCTCCGACTGGGTGACACTCGACGGACGACAGCCGGGGCTCGATTTATCAACGAGACGGTTAGGGACCGATTATAGCCTGTCGCTGGCACTGGTAGGATACATTACACGGGAAACAATGCCAAGGATGGAGAGAAAGCAGCAGGGGCGCAGCTCTTGGCACGGCTCTATGTGTGGTTTGGTGTGGGGTCTTGGAAACATACCACCTGGGCAAACAGCGGGTATTGATTTTGCAGGAGCTTTAAATTGTTTCGTAGAGAACCTTGTTGAATATATGAGGCACAGGCAATCGGTTTGTCACTTTGAGTAGCTTAGAGCGGTAATTGAATGTTCCGTTTAGGGCATGTGATTTGCTAGAATCTCGCCCGTGATGCTGATTGTTGAAATCAGCTTGACACCGAGTCTCAGAACTTGCCCTGATGTGATCAAAGTTCAGCCAGATGAGCTCACATCGGACCAGAATATGACAGCTGGTTCAGGAGCTTTATAGGTACACGGAACTCGACGAACCTTCACATATTGTTACTATTGAAAGAAAATAATGAAACAATCAATGCATCGATGCATCGAAAACGATAACGAAATAGTAATATTTAGTGAATATTGTCGGAAAATAGGCACACTCGAAGCAAACCGTGATGAAGTACTGTATTACCTTTACACCTACAATTAAAAACAGGGGCCCTGCCACGGGGTGTGAAAGGTCGCAGGGGTCCAGTTTCACCAATCATTTCGTTTCCGTATTGCTTCTGCCTGTATTTCAAGTTAATTTCAAACTATACACTGTCAGTTCAACTGTAACTGCATGAACATATGTACTTATATATGATATTTGGTATTGCCAGACGACAGCTGCATTTAAAGATTATATGTATGGACTAAGATTTTTATTTCCGGGCCTCCTGCGCTTGTGATTTTACACCTGCACAATCCTTTTGGCATTGGGCCAGACTGTGCCGCAGTGCAGCGGTGTCATGCGGTACAGTCTACCGTTCAGGGCTGCGAAACGCCCACTCACTGGCTTCCTTGCTTTCTCTTGGATGTCGTTCCCGGCAAAGGTGACAGAATTGTACGGGCCGTGCAGGCAAGAAAATACGCATATCTGTTATGATGCTTAAGAATGAATTTTAAATTATACTTTGCTCGAGTGAAGGGCACAATTGTACCTATTAAGAAAACTTTTTTTTTGGCAGATAGATATGTATTTCTTTGCTTGCTTTGTTTTAGATCTCCTTTTAGAAGAATACTTGATTTTATATCAATATTTTGTTACAAAAAATTGCTTCCGAATGCTGCAATAAGTATTGGTATAGAAATATTATTCTTGGCTATGAGTAAATCTGGTTGTTATCTTATTGTATCAAATCTACTATTTCCGTACAGACAACTGACAAGACAGGCAGACGTTTGTTCTGCCTCGTCATCTATTTTGTGTGTGCGTGCACTTATCCATTAGTCTAACGTGGAAAGATAAATCTGTTAGCGCCACATGCTCGTGACAGAGTAATGACTCGGCAACACGACTGTTTATTGTAATGCGAGGATTTTGTGACGAAAGTGGTCGATTACCGCGATTGTCTTCAAATTAAAGGGTTTTAAGGAAATGAAGCTTACAAGGAACATGAGTAGAACGCTGGAAGAACTGCTTTCGTGTAGCATGTTTCGTGCTAGCTGGCAGCTGATAAGGGTCCTTAGATGTTGACATTCGCGATTGATGGCCAGTGATTTTTTTTTCTTCAAATCTGCTTGAATGCATGAGGTGAGGCGTAGATATGCAGTGTTCATTGGGTATGTGTTCATGGTCTTGTACTGCGCCCGGTAAGTGGCATGCGTTTCTCATCGGACAGGTAGGAATGCCTGGAACGTCTCGACATTATGTTTTGACGCCTAACCCTCGCTAGATGTCGGTAACATATGTGATTATTATGTCAATTCTGCGTGTTCCAGGACGGCAAATGTACGGAATTTTCAATTCATGAAATTTCAATTCTTCAGGAATTAGGAAAGACGAAGTGCTAGTTTTAGCGGCACCCACCTGGTTGTTCTCGATCCTGTAGGTGCTGGTGCTGGAGCGGCGTCGCTTCTCGATGCCGATGCCGGCCGACTGAAGCAGGTTCTGCGAGCCGCGTCGCTCGTGCGACGACCGCCTCTGGTGGCCGGTCGGTGAGGGTGTCCGCTCCTCATCCCCTGCCGGTGTGAACGTCAGTGACGGCACTGTGTCCATGGTGACCCGATCCTGGTCACCGAGGGGTGGCGGTCACCGGATGAACGGTCACCGGGGACGATCACCAGACGTCACCAGGTGGGACAGTCACCGGACGAGACGGTCACCGGACGGTCACCGTGTCACCAGATGTCAGATCTCAGTACGACACCGTACTGGCCCGTACCGGTCGTCACCGGATTTGCCGTCCCCAGTAACAATGCGGCCCACTCGAGGTCGCGTCCTTGAGAGTGCGATGTCTCGTCCCGTTCACGAACTGACCCAACTCGCAGTCACAACACCGTTCCCCACTGAACGCTCTCAGCTCACAACTGTTGCACGCCTATTGAAGCTGTCAGGCGACCTTCTCGACGCGAGGGCGACGTTCGACTGCCGATCTCCGCCGTCGGCCGAGTACAGTGGCGCCACCTGACGGCCACCACCTCTGGTCACACCCCCGACAGGCAGTCCGAACTGCCGCCGACGGACTCCGACTCCGGACAGAGTCGCTGTCGGTCGTCGAAAATCGGTCATGACTCGACAAGAATGAGATATACTCGTATGGATATGCTGTCAATAGCGTCGATTTAGGGGTCGGTAGGGCCTTTTAAAGTGAGAGTTTATTCAATATACTTTACGTCGCATCGCCGTGCGATGCGTGTTGTCTGTTGACTTGCCTCGTGTTCTTCGTGTGAAATAATTATCGCAGCAGTTCTGTCGCACCTCGTCAAAGTCTGAAGATCGTTAGGAAACCGGAGCATAGACTCCACTAATTTGACGACACGCCAGCCGCTGTCGGCGTGCTTTGATCTGTCAACTCGCCGCGGATTTGATTCGCCGAGACACGGCTGTCGGCGCTGTCAAAGTGGAGCTCTTCCGTGTCCTTTCCGCCAACACCTTGCTACGCTGCACGCGCCCTCGCTGAAAGGTGTGAGGCTTGTGTGAGACATTGTTCAAAGGGTGTGGTTAGATGTCTTCATTTCTGCCCTGGAGGCATGATCTGACTCAATGGACATATGGGGCAATGGAACAGTGCCAATGTGGGGCCTATTGTTGATGTCGACTGATTCTATCCACAGCTTCATTGCTGTTTTCTTTTCGCCGCAATGTCCATAACTGGCTTCGTGACCTTTTCGTGACCGTTGCGACTATTTACGGTTATTCAGGCTTGCAAATGTATGGTGTATGGTAATGGATGGACTAGTTATATTTAATGTATCTCTATTTATTTATTCAAAAGCATCTACATGAAAAGAAAACATTCTTAAATTCCAGATCCTTAGTAAATGCTCAGAAAAGGCTTTGATGCGGGGGAAGAGACGATCAATAACCATGAGACACGTAGCTTGCTTGTAATTTATACACACCTGTCGGTACCTTTAACCCGCGAAATACTGCTTTCAGCAAGCATTTGCTCCGGGACTCGAAGTCATTGACGACACTTAGGAAATGGCGGCAACCGGCAACGGCGTCATTACCTAAATTGTCTTGCAGCGCTTGAAGCTGTCGAAGATGATGTGGATTATTGCCACTTTGACTGAATGTCAGCACTTACATGAGAAGCAGGCCCATGTCACTCCACTTTTGATGACATCATATGGGGGCCTCAGGACAATAATGGCGCGGCGCGCCACAATCGCTTCAAAGCTACTTGCCAACAGTTCCCATTTTTGAAAATATTATTTTGAAATAAAGTTCCAAGTAATAAAAATATTGTAATAAAGTTGTTGAATAAATCGATAACATATCTAAAAACTTACTGAAAAATGATTTATTCATAGTAAAAATATAAGCTCGATGCGTTTTTACGTTGCTTTCCTTCAACTGCAGAGGGTTTTTAAATCGTCTATATCTTCAAAACCGGCCATTTCTTAGCATATTGCTGCTCTTTTTTATCGCTAGAAAATTAGTTGGACTTTCCAATGACATCAATGGTTGAGCGATATATGTAGAGTGTCACCAACAATCTTCAAATGAAGTTAGTCATTTTTACGTTATAAAGGAATGGAGTACCCCTATCGAGCATCAGGGGTGACGTCACTCAGGATCTGTCTCTGATTGGTCGGCGGGAGAGTGACTGTACCTTCTATAGATGGCCTTGATGAGAAGTATCAAATTAAAGTTGTGGAGCAGGGCCTAATCCAAAGGAATATTTTTGAATATCCTGTACCTACTATCTCCGCAGCACTAAGGCCGGGAAAATCTTTTGAGTTTCAAAACGTGAACACTTAAGTCTTCAGTTCAGTGTTCAATCATACATAGTTCATTCTTCATTGGTTGATGTCAACTGAAAGCGGCCCTGTTTCCAGTTTCATGATAATCAACCAGGCACAAGTTTGCTTATGGATAATGAACTAATATCTGGACGAAGACGAGGCTTAAGTCGTTCTGGGGATACATATGTATAATACAGGGTGCGGCAAAAGTATTGATACCTTCCGTCTTTTTGTAATAACTCAATGCATTTCCAACATGCCCCCGAATATGACATTTCTGAGCGCGCCCTTGCGTACCCGCATCCTTCCCCGAGGCGGGGATTAGCTGAACAGCTGACCTCGACCCAGAGGGTCGCCGGCCGAGGTCATTATCCACCCGGTGGCCGCTGCAGTAGCCACGGCCGAACCATGAAGGTCGAACAATACAGTTTGGAGGCTCGCAGCCGCGCCATTGGCATGCTCCAAGCCGGCAAGACGCAGAGGGACGTTGCCTCACACTTTGGGGTCCCAGTCCTCACCATCAAACGCTGGTGGAAGAAGTTTAAGGAGGCAGGGAGCGTCGCAGATAGACCGCGGTCAGGGCGCCCTTCCAGCATCTCGACCGTCGCCAAGATCGTGATGAAGAAAGCGGCTGGAAAATCTGGCCACTCGGCGAGGAAGCTGTCCAAACAGCTCACTCGGAAGAAATATCCGGTGTCCGAGAGGACTGTCCGCCGGTACTGGAGGAACACCCTTGGACTGAAGGCCTACAAGATCCGCGTAAGGCCAAAATTAACGGAAAAACAGCGATCACAGAGGCTTCAGTTTTGCAAGGAACGCAAGAACTGGACTGTGGAAGAGTGGAAACGGGTACTCTTCAGCGACGAGTCTCCCTTTCAACTCTTCCACCACCCAAACCGCCAGAACGAGCGAGTGTGGGCTGAGAACCCGGCTGAAGTCCCGAAGGCGTTCAGCGTCAAATTCCCGCCGAAACTGATGGTGTGGGGCATGATGTCCTACGAGGGACTGAGCCAGCTGCACGTGATCCCGCAGAAGACGTCGGTCAATGCCGAGTACTACGTGGAGCACATCCTCGAGGAAGTCTGCCTCCCTGCCATCAACAGGACGGCCACGACGGGCTCCGTCCTCACGCGCCGCATGGTCGAGCGCAGGTCGGACAGCATTTTCATGCAGGATGACGCTCCAGCTCATCGGTCTGCCAGAGCGCAGAAGTGGTGCCGGGAGCACCTCCCCAACTTCTGGGCTAAGGACACGTGGCCAGGGAACAGCCCTGACCTGAATCCAATTGAAGAGCTCTGGGGGATAATGCAACAGGAGCTGGACAAGAAAAAACCTCCCAGCAACCTTGGACAGCTCGAGAAGGCGCTCAAGAGGACGTGGGCGAACATCAGCCCACAGACTCTGAAGAACCTGGTGGCCAGCATGCCCGCACGTCTCTCACTCTGTGTCCAGCTTCGTGGAGAATACATTGACCGCTGAAATGAAACTGTTGTTTCAATTTTACGGGAGGGAGGGAATGAATGGTAAGGTATCAAAACTTTTGCCGCACCCTATACAAATAGCGGACCTCAGTTTCTCAGAAATAGATCAACCTTCATCTCCGTATGCGGCTATTTTTATACCTCCTTCACGGAATCATCAGCTCCCATTATATAAGCTGTTCCTCTAACGGCATCTGACTCACAAGGGTGCGCCCTTCGGCACCCAGCTCCACTTAGTGGTCTGTGGGCGGCTCTGAAGCTGCGGGGAAGGAAGGGGGCTGGGCTGTAACGGAAGGCCAGCCGCCGCTACCAAAACAGCCCCCTCTCCCCTGTCCAGACCGGCGCGGCGGCCGAGAGGCGGCCAAAAATAACACACCTCATGAGCCGGGGGGGGGGGGGGAGGGAGGCAGGTTGGACCGAACGACGGCACTTTGGTAACAGAGACGACCCAGGCACTTGTTTTTTGTTTTGTTGGGTTATGCCCTTTCGGTCTGACGAGACCATTTCAGGGCCGGAAAGATGATAGGATTTAGGGGAGACATTAGTCTGGGCGAGCACCCTGGTGAGTCGCCGGGGCCTGAGCCCGTCCAGAGGACAGGCCGACCAGCCCCACAACCACTCACCTCACCCGGCTACGGGCGTGCTCTAACGGGCAATCCCGCATGGGATAAAGTTGCCCGTCCAGTCCGGAGCAGGGGAAAGAGGCTTGGAGGAGAAGTATTTGTCTGTCCTGAGGATGGAAAACAGGGAACGGAGGACCCAGGCACTGTTTTACGTGAGGGCGCTCTTGTCCTTGAGACGTCTAGCAAAAAAGAAAAAACAGACTAGCATTGATGTTAATGTTTTACAATATAAGTATGATGGCTACCTCGCTATTACCTCATAGGTTGAATGCTTCTCGAGCCATGTCGCTTCATGTTAGCGGAACAGGTAGTTAATCGGTGGTGTCCTCGGTCTACAGAGAATTAATGGATCAACACCCGATCACCGGCGAGTGTAAACAGGTGGATGTCCTCTGATCCAAGTGTGACATCACGATACTCTATCAGGGTCATTTGTATCAGGGTCATTTAAGGTGATGTGGTAGGTTATGCACACCCTCCTTCATGCAATGCTCCATCCTATGGTGACAAAGACCTGAAATAAGATGCTTCAGGAATTTCGAACGTTTACTTTTAGCATGCCAATGCCATAACCACACGATAAACAGCATTCCATCAGTCCTTCTTTGACAGGTGTTTATCACTAAGCTTATGCCGAGCCTCATGCAGTGTTCACTGGTGGAGGGAGCATGACAAAATGCATCGTTTTTAGGTAGTTTCACAAATATGGACGGATACGAATCGCGAATAAAAATTTTCCTTAAAAAAGCTTTGGTGGTGGTTTTTTATTTCTCCAGACACTTATGAACACGGAAAGAGTCACTACCAATCTTTAGGTACGGATGGCAGTTTGTGTGTAAAAATGAGACTCTGTTTTTGCTCATTTGATAGTCTTGAAATTCGGATTGTTTTGCCCGTCAGTAACCGTAATTAACTTTTAAGCACTTTTGTCTCCTTCCCTATTCCAAATTTATCCCATTGTCGGAGCAGGCAAGCACAGGAGTTACTCAGCCGTTGCTCGTTCCAAAACCCCGGACTGCCTCGATCGTGTAGAAATTGTATAAACATCTGACGCGACTGTTTGGCAGACGGGCAATCAGTTACCGTGGGAGGTCGGAGCTGTGCCGCGCTGCCTAGGGCGGTGTTTAGGCCATTGAAGGATGCATCGCTGGACCG